GTTCCCTGACCGGGAATCGATTAGCAAAGGAAGTTCCCTGACCGGGACGTCAGCCTCTCTGCTCCTCTGATGCTGCTTGGCCTGCTGTGTTCATCCAGCTGTACACCTTGTTATCTCTAAACAAGAGAAAGAGTTGTGACTACTCTGCTGTAATTTATGCAATATCATTTGTCAGTTTCGGTTTTCCCCATCGTCCTTAAGACTTTTCTGCCTTGAATTGGTTTCTTTTTTACGCAAGCTTCAAACTGTCTCTGTTATGAACCAGGCAAGAAGTATTACCCAGAAGTGACAGTAGCAAGTCAATTTAAGTAATTGTCAATTAAAATCCAAAAGAGTCACTTCGAATATAAAGATAGTAAGAACTGCTGATGCTGGAGTCAGAGATAACACAGTGTGGAGCTGGAGGAACACAACAGGCCAGCAGCATCAGAGGAGCAGGAAAGTTGACATTTCAGGTCGAGACCCTTCTTCAGAAATGGGGGAGGGGGAAGGGAGCTCTGAAATAAATAGAGGAGGGGTGGTGCTGGGGAAGGTAGGTGGGATGGTGATGGGTAAGTGCAGGTAGGCAGTGGTGGGGATTGGTTAGTGAGGTGGGAAGACCGGATAGGTGGGAGAGAAGACGGACAGGTCAAGGAGGAGGGGATAAGAGGAAGGGTTGGTCATGGGATGAGGTTGGGGATGGGGAGATTTTGAAGCTAGTAACGTCCACATTGAGACCATTGGGTTGTAAGGTTCCAAGGCGGAATATGAGGTGCTGTTCCTCCAGTTTCCGGGTGGCGTTGTTGTGAGACTGGAGGAGGGCCAGGATGGACATGTTGTCCAGGGAGTGGGAGGGGGAGTTGAAGTGGCTCGCAACTAGGAGGTGTTGTAATTTGTCGCGAACAGTGTGCAGGTGCTCTACAAAGCGGTCTCCGATCCTCTGCTTGGTCTCACCGAAGTAGAGGAGGCCACACTGGGGGCAGCAGATGCAGTAGACCACATTAGCGGAACCTCTAGTGAGCGTCTGTCTGATGTGGAAGGTTTTTTTGGGTCCTTGGATGGAGGTGAGGGGGTAGGTGTAGGGGCAGGTGTAGCACTTTCTTGCGGTTGCAGGGAAAGGTGCTGGGAGTGGTGGGGCTGGTGGGGAGTGTGGAGCAGATGAGGGAGTCGTGGAGAGAGCAGTCCCTATGAAAGGCAGATGGGGTGGGGAAGGAAATATATCTTTGGTTGTGGGCTCAGACTGCAGGTGGTGGGAGTGATGGAGAATGATACGTTGAATCCGGAGGTTGGTGGGGTGATACGTGAGGACAAGGGGGATTCTGTCTTTGTTTTTGTTGCAGGGAGAGGGTGTAAGGGCAGAGGTACAGGAAACGCAAGAGATGCAGTCAAGAGCGTTTTTGATCATTTGAAGGGGGGATGTTGCGGTCCTTGAAATAAGAGGACCTCGGAGAGCGCTTTGTAGAGCACCTGTGCTCTGTTCGTGACAAACGACAACACTTCAACTCCCCCTCCCACTCCCTGGACAACATGTCCCTCCTGGGCCTCCTCCAGTCTCACAACAGCACCACCCGGAAACTGGAGGAGCAGCACCTCATATTCCGCCTTGGAACCCTACAACCCAATGGTCTCAATGTGGACATTACTAGTTTCAAAATCTCTCCACCCCCGGCCTCATCCCATAACCAACCCTCCCTCACATCCCCGCCTCCTTGACCTGTCAGTCTTCTCTCCCACCTATCCGCTCCTCCCACCCCACTGACCAATTCCCACTGCTGCCTACCTGCACTCACCTATCACCATCCCACCTACCTTCCCCAGCCCCACCCGTCCTCTCTCTATTCATTTCAGAGCTCCCTTCCCCCTCCCCCATCTCTCCCACCGTCAGTTTTCCTGCTCCTCTGATGCTGCCTGGCCTGCCGTGTTCCTCCAGCTCCACACTGTGTTATCACTATTCGAATATATATTTGAGGTGTTCAAAACTACGTGTTGTGCAGTCACTCCTTGCTATCTGCTACCATTGTACTCGCGAAGTCGCCCCAGACCCCTTTTTATCTCATTGTCTCACCCAGTTTGCCTCAGTAAACATCGTGGTCCTTTGAGGTACATAGGAGTGGTATTGTATTTCACATTATATGCAGGAAGTTTGTGCCCCAATCCCTCGTGGAGATCGTGAACTGAGTGTATTAAAGTAACCTATAAACATAGAACTATTACAGCAACAAATGGTTGAAATTTGGCCTGTCCTGTCCATACAGCTCACTGCAAACTCACCTAGATCCAGAGCCCTGCAAAATAATAACTTTAATACAATTGTTTGAGGTACAGTGTCATTTTGCCACTTTCAAGTGTAGCAAGTGACTTCCACCAAATAGGTAACACAGTGTAGAGCTGGATGAACACAGCAGGCCAGGCAGCATCGGAGGAGCAGGAAAGCTGATGTTTCGGGTCGGGACCCTTCTTCAGAAATGGGTCGAGTTTCCCAGCTCCTGGGTCCTGCAACTGCTAGCCATTTGTCCCTCCATGGAATCCTGATAAATAAAATTCTTTATTCATTAATGGGATGATGGCGTCGCTGGCCAGGCAGCGTTTATTGTCCATCCCTAATTGGTCAGAGGGCAGTTCAGAGTCAACCACATTGCTGTGGGTCTGGAGTCACGTGTAGGCCAGACCAGGTAAGGATGGCAGTTTCCTTCCCTAAAGGGCATTACTGAACATTAGTGATTCATAAACCATGTTTGGACCCTACCTGTTTTTAATGTGTGTAATTTTTTTAAAATGCAGTTTCTCTGGAGGTGGTGCTCATGCCGGCTATCAGCGCCACCGTTGGAGATGATGTGCTCCTTGGTTGCACGTTTTCACACACAGTTGCGCTTGATTTGCGATACATTGTCATTGAGTGGAACCATAGAGTGCAAAATGAGGAAAAAGCTGTTTGCTTGTTTGTCTTTGGAGAATATGAAATCCATAGACCAGGATCAAGTCTCTCTATAAATGAAATAAGCAAAGCGAATGCTTCTTTACTCCTAAAAAATGTTACGATCCACGACATTGGGTTATACTCCTGCACAGTGACAGTATTCTCCGATAAAGCAACGGGGAAAGTCTCTCTATCGGTAACAGGTGAGTGAAAAATGATGCCTAATGTATAAACCTTTAGGACCTCTGGAGGTTTTCCTTTATTTACTGTGTTCTCTGGAAATGTTAATGGTGCAGATAAGAATTCTGATTGATTGTGAGAAGTGTAAAATGTTAGGATCATACAATTATAAAGATGTGAATTTGTCAATTGGATGCAGGTTGGTGTAAAGTGGCAAAAAAATTTGACATCACCCGATTAAGCTTAAAGATACTGTATCTGATTTCTTTGAGACCCATTCACAGTTTTTAATGTAACCATTGATAAGAAGTGATGAAATTTACATTGAAAACACTTTAAATTACCTTAGAGGAAAAGGTACATTTCTGGATCCCAAAATATCCACCAGCAGAGGTTCTGTAAGGCCGTAAGATATATGATCTGAAAATTAGGCCATTTAGTCCATCGAGTCTACACTGCCATTCAATCATGGCTAAAATGTTTCCCAATCCCATCCTCCTGCCTTCTCTCCATAAAGTTTGATCCCCTTACTAATCAAGAATCTATCAATCTCTGTCTAAAATACACTCAGTGACTTGGTTGCCAGAGCCCTCTGTAGCAATGAGTGCCACAGATTCATCACCCTCTGGCTGAAGCATTTCCTCCCCATCTCTGTTCTAAAGGGTCATCTCCTTGCTGAGTCTGGGCCCTCGGGTTCTAGTCTCTCCTATCAGTGGAAACAGCTTCTCCGTGTCCACTCTATCCAGGTCTCTCCATATTGTGTAAATTTCAATGAGATCCTCCCTTATCTTTCTAAACTCCATCGAGTACTGTCTTCAATTGCTCCTCATATGACAAGCCCTTCATTCCTAGGATCATTCATGTAAACCTCTAATATGGGAAAAATTCAAGTTGGAAACTAGACTTCTCTACAATGTGCTGACTGGTAAATGCCAGTTAAAATTATACATTATGGAAAAGTAGGTAAAGAATTGAAAATTAGTGAGTGACTGGAGTGGAATAGCTTTCACACTTTAGTGCAGTGAGCCTGAAAAATGAAATTTAACGTGTGAGTGAGCAAGGTTGGTTTATGGAAAGTAAACTTGTAATGTGTGGGGAGCCACCTGTCCAAATAAGTTGATAGAGGATGCAATTTATGTGAAACAAAGTAAAAGCTAAAAATCAAAAATGATCAATTCTGGATGGCAGAGTGGGAAATGATCTACAATGAATAAAAATAGGTAGCTCTAAAGATCAAACAGAAGAACTGTCTGAAAATGAAAGATCTTCAAAAACCAACCTATTGACAGAATAAGGAAAGCTAAATTTTAGTATTTCGGGGTGAATAATTCTAAAGAAGTTAAAGGGTATGAAAGAGAGATTTGACAGCATTAATTTAGTAGCAGTCAGCTCTGGGCTTGAATTTAACCTAACTTAGTTTGATAGGTTTAAAAATCACCTCTGTCTGACAGCTGTTGAAAGCCTTAAGGATTTTGAATGCTGTCCATGACTCCTCATAATTCAAAGCTAATCAAGGAATCATGCTCAGAAGCTCCAAATAAAAGTGGCAAAAGAAATAGAAATATCACATTACAGTACCATGCTTCCTGAACTGTTGTGTTCCTACAAATTGCTCTTTTAATTATGACAAACTGTTCTAAATTCTGCTGAGTTCAACTTGGAGACCGCTGACTTTAGCATAAACTGATATGTCACAAGCCTATTTCTACTACTAAAGGGAAAAAGAACACAGTGTTAATTTCAACATTAAACTAAGCACCATGGGGGAGAAGGGTGGGTGCATGGACGATTGCTCTCCTGTGATGAGATCCCTGTACAAGGTGAGATGTGTTTTCCCCCTTCCCCTTCAGTGCGCAAGAAAATAGAGATACTCTCCAAGACCATTACTGTGTCTTTCAGCCCTGTTGGAAGTTTTGTTCTGGTACCACGCAGTGTTGTTTTTCCTGAAGAATGTATTTTAATCCCAAAGTAATGCTGCTTATAATCATGTTGGTTGTTTGGGCTCCCAGCCTACTCCCAAGTGGGCACACATTAAATCTGGCTATAAAAATAGTCCTTTTCACTCAAAGTGGTCACAAGGATGACTAGTAAAGCAAATGCGAAGATTGGAATTGACACAGAAAGGTTTGCCCATCTGAGGCTATGGTTCAGACCGAATCATTTGTTGTGACTTAGAACATTAGTTTGCATCTGACAGCACTGTGCCTTGCCTGCTTTGTTTAAAATAGAAAAATGGTCCATAATGACAATCTTTATATATAAACATTGTCAAAACCTACAGAAAAAATTCACCCTTAATTGAAATGGAATATGTATGTCTTATAAAGCTGCTGTTAAGTACCTTGGGATGTTTTATTATATTCAAGGTGCTATACAAGTAGACCTTCTTAGTATGAATGACTAAGACCAAATACCCATCACCCTTTCTCCTGATTCCACCACTTGTTGGGTATTTATTATCACTTCTGACCTTCCACTCTGATGCTGAATGTTCTGTACTCAAAAAGGTCTCAGTTCTATGACTCTGCGCCTGCATCTGAATGAATTTTGTGCATGACATGACGTTGAACATGTCTTCTGTTGTCTCTGCCTCTGTGCCCATTTCTTTGCATAGGAGTCATTTCCCCATCCCACAGACCCCCTCACCCACATTCAACACTCTCCTTCCACCTGGTCTGCTCCCTATGGCCTTTGACCTGCACTCGAACTGTTCGTTGAGAACTACAGACACGACATTGGTCATGTTAATTTTTCCACCCCCTACACCACCACCCCTCCCAACCCTTGTCGATTTGAACCTATCTCCCTCTTAACTGTCTGAACTCTGTGCTGTCAGTACCAACCGTGACTTTGTAATCGAACCTACTGACGAATGGTGCTGTTGTTGTCTGGCAGACTGACCTTTACATTGCAGAGGCTGAACACCAGCTCTCCGACACCTCCTCTTATCTCCCCCTCTCCCTAATTGTAGAATCACATCTAATGCTGAACAATATGTTCTGAGTTTTGCAAGCTCAAACTGGTCGAGTACAGTCAATATTTTAGTGCCTAGTGTTATGGCAGGGACATAGGCCATATGCCCCACTAACTGGTGACTTATATTAAACACATGTCTATTTGGCTGTTCACAGCAGGCAAAGTAGTGTGAATATTTTAGAAATCAGAAGTTGAAAAAACACTTTTTTTACTTCCTGATATGCTGTCTCTGAAATACATCAATATGACTATATGCTAACTCTACTTAATGCATCACTGTTGCTGAATAGTTTGAGACCATTTGGCTTGGTACCAGTAATAAAACTGACATTGGTAAAGGAAATTGTCATAGAAATTGGTAGATCTTTATGTGTAAATTTCATCAAAGACAAAGGTGAATGCTGGTGTTTTGTTGCTGCCACAAAATACAGACCATTGTGTTTCTTTTTTGAGCCATAGAGTAGATATTTTAGTTAGCTACGTGGTGCTGTTACAATAGCGCAATATCTGTAAAACTACTCTAATGTGACCTGCAAGTTGAAAGTAAAAAAAAACAATGATGTGAGTTGGATTGATGTTGTTTACACTCAGCAAACTGAACTATTGGGGTGAAGCATTTACTATCCCTGATGGACAATTACAGATCCTTCCGTCAATTAACTAATCGGTGCATTTTCATACCTAGTGAACATAAATCAACAGGTCAAAATATCCTGTTCTCCAGAATACAATATTCCTGATTTTGTTACCATTTCCATTACATTTGGTCCAGAACACAGCTTTAATACTGAAAGCTAAATTCCTGACATTTCACTATTCAAGTTCAAAATTGTCAACTTAAGAATGCTCCTTACTAAAACAAAAACAAAGCACTGAAGCTGCTGGAAATTTGAAGTAGAAATAGAGAATGTTGGTAAATTACAAGTTTGACTGTATCTGTGAAGGAGGAAATGGAGTTAATATTTCAGGTCAATAACTCCCATCAGAAATGTTGAACAAATTAAACAAAATTTCTTCTCTACTTGCTAATTAATTACTGAAATAAATAAAGAATGGATGTTAAACCCACAGTTTAATTAAACCCAAAACTGATCCATAATCATCAGTATCTGCTGTAAGTGAAAAACAGATGTCTTGGGAGAGTGTCGTGTGTATTTGTCAGAAGACCTGAGGTGCAAGCAATAAATTACAAAGACAGATCATACAAACTAGAATTGTATTCATATGGTTAGGGGTGATTTCTTCAAAAATTCAAGATGTAATGGGCTACTCTTATGACCACTGGGAAGAGGTCATTTCAACTGGGTGGGAGAGGGAGTATTATCCAAACTCAGAGCTAGATTGTTCAGAAAACAAATTAGAATATACCTCTTCATGCAAATTATGATAAAAATTTGTAACTCACTCAGTAATTGATGCTAAGTAAATTGTAAACTTTGAGTCTGAGATAGCTAGACTTTTGTTGAGCAACAGTATTGAGCTATTTGGGACCCAGAACAAATTTGGTGTTAATCACAGATCAACAACGAATTAATTAAATAGGAGAACAGGTTTGGGGGGCTACACTGGCTAACATAGTTATATTGTATTTTAAGATAACATCAATAAAGAAAGCTAATAAAAATAACATTATTTATCCTTATTCCTTGTATCCTTGTAGCACCTCCTTCAGTTTCAGTAAACACTGTAAATGTTGTAATTGAACCTGGTGAAGATAAAGCAATAATTTGTGAGATGAAAAGCTTTTATCCAGAAAATCATTCTATCTCTTGGTTAAGACGTGGCTCACAAGACAGTGAAAACCAACTTGACATCACATCAAGAGCAGTTACAGGATCACCTCAACAAAATCAAGATGGGACATTTAATCTGCTTTCATTCCTTATCATCAAAGGCGTTCAAACGGATGATGGAGCTTCTTATGTCTGCAAAGTTATTCATGAAGCTTTAAAGACACCTCTACAGAAAGTTGTTAGTTTGACAATCAAGGGTGAGTAATTAAGGGAGGATGCTATCTGCTAAATGGCAAGAAACATTTTTTTTAAATTCTAATATAACATGAATTCTATATTTTTTATTTTGAGTCTTGGCTGAACTTTGTATAACAGAGCCATACAACAGATGGATCATTACAAATATCAGACCCATTATTTAGTTCCTACAAATATAAACATTGAATCAGGATAATGAGCTTTGCCATATTTTAATTTTGGCACAGGTTTGTTACATCCTTAAGATTGTTTTCTGCTTACGCGTTCTTTTGAATTATGGAGGATTTACGAATGCTTTTCACATTTCGGAGGGATAGTAGAATAGAAATACTGCCAAACGTTCACATGAACTTATTAGAAAATTACAGGACGACAAAAAAGTAGCCTTACATTTTGGGTAATAAATCTAATTTATGTGGATTTTTAAAGTGGATTCTTCTGTTCCTTGGTCAAGATATGGAGAGGAATATTGTTTTCTACTGTGAGGAACAACGTGTCCATATAGCAACACAAGGTTAAAACAAATAATTTATTTTTTGATCGTTCAACTATAGGCATATACAAAATCTCATTCATATGCTTAAGAATATCTGATACAGATTACTTGTAGAGATTTATGTGGAGTGCATGCAATCTCTGGAGTAGCACTTGCTCTCCAAAGTCCAGCATTTAGGATCCAAAGATTTATTACACCCACAGCAGTGCATAGATGTGACCTTGCAATTTAAAAATAAACTCTACGACTCCAGATAATTCTACAAGTCAATAGGAAATTTCCTAGTCTCCCGTGCCAATCCTGCCCACCCAGTTAGTGACCCAATTTAGATGGACAGTCGTTTATATTTCCCTCATATGCTTAGAATCTGTTTTGTTCAGATCCTAGAGTACATATCTGTTGCAGAGAACTAACTTTGTTCTGAATTTCTATGACCATTTCTACGATGCATCATCTTGGAGCAATTATGATGTCAAAGAAATTTAATTCCTTCCTCCCACTTTATGAGGGTAGCAACTATTTTGTCAATATGCATTTGAAAACACAGGTTGTGCTAGGTGCTACGCAGATACCAAATGCTTCTTAAAATCTTGAAATAAGGAAAATGTTCCTCTCCATATTTTGACCAAGGAACAGAAGAATCCAACTCTCCACAAAACATGTAAGTATATTTGCATCAGCTTCCTGACCATAACTTGGCTCCACCATGCCTTTTATGGTTGAATAGCTTGTGAGTAACCTTTTTGCCTCCCTGCAAGCCAATCATAGAAGGAATTGGACCCTAGAAATACAAGAACTCGGCTTCCATTTGACAACTTGCAGTGTTAGCTGTCTCAATCCTCAGTTTCACCATAAAAAGTTGGATGGACAACTGTTATTCTATTTGTCCCAAGTCCCAATTACTTTTGTGTGTATTTGAGGGGATTTATCAATAAAGTCTGCATGAAATTGACTTACCCTCTATGGTATCAGTGTAGAGAAGAGCATTACTCTTTGGAGCCTCTATTATTACAAAACCTTTGTCAAGTTTGATCATGGATCTTACACACAAACCAAAGCAAGCCCTTCTATTGTACGCCTAAGTGTTTAAATATAGAAACCCCACAGAGTGGAAAGAGGACTTTTGGCCCAACAAGCCTGCACCAATATTGTGAAGAGTATTCCACCCATACCCACTGCCCTGCACATTCCTTGACACTACAGGCCAATTTAGCATGGCCAATCCACCTTACCCACGAATCTGTGGGAGGAAACTGGAGCAGCTAGCAGAAACCCACACAGACACTGGGAGAATGTGCAACTCCACACAGACACCCAAGGCTGGGATTGAACCTGGTTCTCTGCTGCTGCGAGGCAGCAGCGCCAACCACTGCCTGACAATTATAAATGACAGTTTTTTTAAAATGCTCTCAGAGCTATTCTTTGCCACCTCATTGTCATAGTACTGCTCATCAACATGTGGCTTTTATTTTGATCACCAAATTGCTCTCCTAATATCAGTAAAACAAAGGCTTTGATGCAAGCCAGCCGTAGATCCTAAGGGTAAAAAGGTGAAAAATATTATTTTCTAAACAGACTTCAGGTATAATATATCTTGTGTGCAGAGCAGGACTGAGTAAAATGTTGGATCAATAGGTACTTATTTTCATATTGACCTCACAATCTAAATGGCTATGCAGATGCTGAACTGTCTAACATTTCACATTTCTATTTTTGCTGAAAGAATTCCATTGTGAATTAATGGGTGTCCTCTGAAATACATGTTAAAAATTTCAGGAATTATATACTATACTAGATGGACTATAGTAAGGCTACTTGACTTACAAACATTTAGATTTGCTCCAGAGATTGTGAATAGAATAGGAGTTACTGCCTTATTTACCAATAAAGGATGTTTACAGTTAGTGAGGTGTGATGCTGCTTAATGCTGTGCTGCGAGAAAATTTCTGTTTTCTATGACGAGCGCAGTCTTGATTTAGCCAACACAGACAAACAGCAATGAATAATTACTAACACGTATTTGGTCTTGCATTCCCCTAGGATCCAACCCAAGAACAAGATCAGGAACATTGCTCACTTTTCTTCTAACATGTGTGATCACCACAGCTGTTTGTTTTGGAACATTTATTTTTTGCAGCTTTAAAAGACAAGGTAAATTATCAGTCTTCCTGGAGCTTGGTTTTGGGAATGGCGTTGAATTTGGCAAGACTGTATTTAATGCCCATGTCTAGTTTGCTTAAAAGGGTGGTGTTGGTCCGTTTTGATCCTCACCAATCATGTGATAGTGATGCTGTCTCAATGATGTAACATAGAAGATTTTACAATATTGATCCATTTTAAAGAGAATACTATTTCTTGCTGCTCCTGGTACTGTAAATTGTAATTATTTTTATCATCCAAATACACATTCCTGGTGAGGGTTTTTATGCTGACTTTCACTTTACAAATCCCAGTGGGATCAGGACTCCGCATGGCAATGATTTTAAAATCACGTTCACATGCTCCTCTCTGGATCCTGACACTTCCAGGACAGCTTGCTATTTTTAAGAGTGAGAGCAGAGAAGTGGGAAACTGAAGTCAGCTCATCTCCAGATTACCAGCTCATTAAGCTCCTTTACCGTCCCTGACTCTAATGTTGTAATTTTCAAAAGGGAGTCCAGTGAATCTGAACAATCTGGTGCATGTTAGTACCCAGCTATCAGTTCACAGTGGGAGACCTGAAAATACACTTACATTGACTGAAAAGTGTTTGTGTAGGGCATTTGGGGCAGAGGCATGCTTATTAATTTTATTTGGCTCGCGTTCCTTCCATTGTCACAAGCCAACCCTTTAAGGAGCTACCTGCTGTTTAGGCAATGACAGATCTCAGCATGGCTGCTGGTACCAGGCTAGCTGTTCCCACCTAGTAGAGACATTGAGCACATCTCCTGCCCAATTAGGGCATTTGCATTTAAAAATAAGCTGATGGGAGCAGGATTGCAGGGATGAGACCTGAAAAATATCCACATATAGGGTTCTCAACCCTGCTGTAAAGTCTGGGTCTTCGTTGCTTCAACCCTGAATTTCAGAAGAGAACTCAATTTTTGTCCATTGGGATTGACAGTAGTCAACCATTTAGATTAGTTGAAGGTATAAGAGAAAGGGACCCAGTTATAAGACACATTTTTGCAGGTTTCACAGTAGAAATTGAAATGGCATATAAAACTAGATCCTGTTCCACTTACGGAGAACACCTTTAATCAATCTGTAAGCTATAGTATGTAAATTTATATAAACTTGCAATGTCCCAGATACCAGTTACTTATGATCCTTGTAGGCTAGGCTTCATCTCAAGTGGTCAGTGCTCCATGCATATCTTTACGGTGGATGATCAGTCCACCCTACATGCCATAAAGCAAGTTATGCTGCTGCTTTATAGAACTTTAGTTAGGCCACACTTGGGATGCTGCATATAGTCCTGGTCACCACACTGCCAGAAGGATATGGATGCTTTGGAGAGGGCGCAGAAAAGCGTTACCAGGATGTTGCTTAGTATGGGGGATTTTAACTATAAAGAAAGGTTGGATAGACTGGGTTTTGTTTTCACTGGAATGCAGGAGGTTGAGGGGGTGACCTGATAAAAGTTTATAAGGTTGCGAATGGCATGGATAGAGTGGAAAGTATGAGGCTTTTTCCCAGGGTGGAGGGGTCAATTACTAGGGAACAGAGGTTCAAAGTGCAGTTGAGGGGAGTGAGATGTGTGAGGCAAGTTTTCCACACAAAGGGTGGTGAGTGCCTGGAATGCGCTGCCAGAGGAGGTGGTGGAAACAGCCACAATAGCAGCATTCAAGAAACACATGAATGGATATATGAATAGGAAGGGAATAGAGGGATACGGATCATATAAGCAAATACAGTTTTAGTATGGGAGAGCAAAATGTGTCAGTGCAGGCTTGGAGGGCCAAGAGTTCTGTTCCTGTGCAGTATTGTTCTTTGTTCTTCCTCTTTTGAAGAGCCCAGTTCCTGGTTAACAAAGCTGATTTTTTTGGTCTGACTTCCTATGCATTTCTGACCCTGCCCCATACCAAATAAGGCAAGGACTTGAATTGGGTTATCTGATTCTAGTGTTAACCCCACCCTGGCTGTGCTGGGACCACCTTCATGTTATCATATCCTGCTCTCCGTATGGCTTGTCTTCCAGAACTATGTTAACAATGAGTGTGATTTTAGCTTCATAGAGGTCTAGAGCACAGAAAAAGGCACGTTGGCCTATGGCATCTGCATGGTTCAAAAACAAGCACCTAACTTTTCTAATCCCATTTTCCAGCACTTGGCCTATAACCATACCATGCCTTGCATTGCAAGTGCACGTTTAAATACTTCTCAAATCATATGAGGGTTTCTGCCTCTACCACCCTTACAAACAATGAGTTCCAGATTCCCACCATTCTCTGAGTGAAAGAGAATTTCCTCACATTCCGTCTAAACATCGTGCCCCTTACCTTAAATCTATGCCGCGGTCATTGATCGCTCCCCCAAGGATAAATGCTCCTTCCTGTCTACCCTGCCTATGACCCCATAATTTTATAATCTCAGTCATGTACCCTCAGTCTCCTCTGCTCCAATGTATCCAACAAGGTATCTATGGCAAATCTCCATTTCAGGGACATGGCCTGACATTTCCATATAGGTTGTGTATTAATTACAATGGCCTTGTTAGCCCAGAAACTGTCTTTTTTCTTTCATGACTGGATCTCACCACAATGAGACAAGCTTTCACCAACAACACCATCTCACAACCAGTTCACATTCATTACTAGAAAAGACACCATAACACAGTTATGTGTTAAAAGTTATTTTTTTCTTTGTTCATTCATGCGATGTGGGCATCACTGGCGAGGCCAACATTCATTGGCCATCCCTAATTGCCCAGAGGGCAGTTAAGAGTCAGCCATATTGCTGTGGATCTGGAGTCATATGCAGGCCAGACCAGGTAAGGATCATATTTGTTAACCAGAAGAGTTTTTCCAACAATTGACATCATTAGACTCGTAATTTCAGAGTTTTATTGAATTCAAATTTCCACTGTCTGCCATTCTGGGATTTGAACTCAGGTCTCCAAAACATTACCCGCATCTCCAGATTAACAGTCCGGAGATAATACCATCAGGCCATTGCCTCCCCTAAAATTATTGAAATAACTCCACAGAGGCCAGTACCCCACCACCAAGTCACCGTTTACTTACATGTGGAGAGTCCTTGACACTGATCCAGCTTCCTCAGACCCAGCTGTCAGAGTGAACAGAACCTCTGACACTCCTGTTTATATCTGTCAGCCAGGGCTCCCTGAATGGACCAGATTAACAGCCCCAATCAGGGAACTCAGATTCTATGGGTCTACCTGGCTGACCTCGTTACAATCACTACAATTACTACAATACAAATGTAGCTAATACTTTAGTTTATAACATATGTTTGATACAAAAAATGCATTGGCTTACAAAGGATATCATCGAGCTTCTATCCAAAGATAATGGTGCATAAAAATAAATTTTAAATGCTAGGAAATTTATCAGTGAAGCATATTACAAGATTGACAGTTTGCTTAAGAGAAGAACAGCTAGATAATTCTATTCCTCTTCGTTTTTTTTCAGCTCCAAAAGTGACAGACATCATTAAACCAAACTGTTTCCGTACAAATGATTCAGTCTCTCTGGCTTGTGCAGTTCTGTGGTTCAAACCAAAAGCTATCGAAGTCTCTTGGTACAGAGAGGAAGAGGATAAATTCCAGAAAGTTCTCATCAGTAAATGGAACAGCACCTCATCTTCTGTAAAACAATTGGAATACAGAAAAATAGTAGATTATTATCAGAGTGAACAAGACAAAACAATATACTTCACAGAAGGAGACTATGACATTGCTATGTCATTTAAAAATCACAAAAGAAGTGGAGCATACAGTTTAGTATCTCAGCTCACCTTCAGAAGTACAGAAGCTACAACAAGAAAGCTAGTATATTCTTTTGAAGTCCAGCATGATGCTCTGAAACACAAAATTTCAAAAGTCATTGCTTTTGAAACTAAAGGTGAATTACATTTATTTTACTGCTTAATAAAATGACAAATAAATTAGAATTATATTAGTTTGTGCTAAAATGCCCATGGTTCAATAACAAAATAGAAATTCTTTGACAGTAGGTAGCTGTGCATATTGTACCCTTTAAATTAGTGTACCAGACTTAACATATTTAGTTGAACTCCTGTGTCTAATATTTTAATGATAATAGATACAACTTGCACTTATGTAACACATTTAGCATGATAAAACTTTCGAAGCCACTTCACAGGAGCATTAACGAAGTTTGATTCTGAGCTAATAGGAGATATTAGGCCAAATGACCAAAAACTTGAACACAGAGCTGAATGTTAAGTTCTGTAAAGTAGGGGATAGAGAGAGAACAGACAGGTTAAAGTAGGGAATTTAAGAGCTTTAGGATTAAGGCAGCAAAAGGCACAACTACCAATGGTGGAACCCTTAAAGTTGGAGATGCACAGGAGGCCAGAATTAGAGTAGTCCGGGTATCATAAAAGTTTGTCTGGAGGAGTGCACAGCAATATTGAGCAGGAAGGCCATGCATGGGTTGGAAAACAAGTATAAGAGTTTTTAAATTGCGATACTGTGGGACTAAAGTCAATATAGATCAGCAAACACAGGGCTAACGAGTAATCAGGAATTATTGTAAGTCAGGATATGGGGGAGAGTTTGGATGAGGTCAAGTTTATGAAAGGTGCAACATGGGAGGCTGACCAGGTGGTGGTTAGATTGGTCAGGGCTAGAGGTAACAAAAGCAATGGCAAGTGGTTCAGCAGCAGGCAAACTGAGGCATGGGTGGAGGTAGTTGACATGGAAGTAAGGGCAATAACCTATTTAACATACTTGGGTAAATGGTTTGTTTAATATAATGGTCAGTGAATTGTTATGCAGATACCTTGCATGCTTGTCCCTTAACATCACACTATGACATTTAGGATATATTTGAAAATTTTAACTACTGTCAACATACCCCAAGTAAAATGAACAGAAAGTACTATCAGGGCCTCGGATTATTAACTAGATTGCTAAATTTGCAGGGTTGGTGCTCATCTGCTGCTCCTTTTACCCATGTTAACAACCTCATTGTGATGTCTTTTGTCCAATTAGCAGAGATTTAGTTGTGGAAAGGGGAAGAAACAGTGAAAGTGTCCAGCAATATGAAGAAGCACAGTGTGTTCCTGTCAGAAAGATTTAAGTAACAGCCTTTAAACCTGATGAGTGAACATGTGGCAAAATCAATAGGCTTCCAGTGAGCAGATTTCTCTCAATTTTCTGTTTGTATACAAAACTAGTAGTAATTTAAGGGTATATGTTCTTTGCATGTTAAATTACAGAAAGATTGTTTTGTAAGTTAAGCAATTTGTTGAAATGAATTTAGTTTTGAATGGTTCTTCTGGAAGCAGAATTTTTAATTATTGTCAGGTCATAGCTTTATGTTTTAAATTTGAGAAAAACACCCAGGCTAAGAGGGAGACTGGGAAATGTTGGTCAAAACTACTTGCAGTGAGATATGGATCTTGTTGTATCCCTCTGGTTAAAATCTGCTGTTGCTTAAAAGGGCTATGTGTGTATTGACTAAAAGCAAGAAATCTGAACAGGAACAATGACAGACAGGTCAAAGAAACCAACAACGAACATCGGGAAAATAAAACTTGGACCTTTGTGTTTTCTAATGGAGGTCTTAAGATAGTAAGATGTAGAAACAGCAGTTGCCATTCAGCCCATCAAGTATGCTCCGCCATTCATTGAGATCACAATTAATCCGATATTCCTCAACTCTACTTTTTCACCTTATTCCCTCAACCCTTGACTGCCTTACTAATTAAAAATCTGCCCATCTCAACCTTGAATATAGGAACTTAGAAAATAGAATCAGGAGTAGGCCATTTGGCCCTTCAATCTGTTCTGTTATTCAAGATGTTCATGGCTAATCATTCAACTCAGTACTCTGTATCCGCTTTCTCCACAGCCTTAATGACCCAGCCTCTACAGCCCCCTGTGGTAATGAATTCCACAGACTTAATATCCCATGAGAGAAGAAATGCTTCTTCATACCTGTCCTAAATGAATGACTCCTTACTCTGAGATTATAACCTTTGGTCATAGACTCACAAGGGGAAACACCCTATCCACATCCACCCTGTCAAACCCTCTAACAATCCAATATGTTTCAATAAGTTTGCTGTTATTGTTCTAAACTCGAGTGAGTACAGACCCTACCTATTCAACCTCTCCTCATAAGGAAATCCCTTCATACTTAGAATCAACCAAGTGAACCTTCCCTGGACTGTTTCCAGTGACAGTATACCCTTTTTCCCATAAGGGGATCAGAGCTGTTCAGTGTCCCAGCAATCGTCTGATGAGTGCCTTATACAATTTTGCAAGACATCCCTACTTTTATTCTTCCATTTCCTTTGAAATAAAGGCCAACATTCCAATTCCCTTCCCCATAACCTGGTGAATTTGGATGTGAGCTTTTATTTTGTGATTCATGCACAAGAACCCCCAAATTTCTCTGCACTGCAGCCTCCAGCACCTTTCTCCATTTAAATCGTTTCCAGCTTTCCAATCGAGATATGGTGCTTGAAGATGTCCTGTTTGGGCCTGGGGCCCAGAATTACACCACAATTGTGGTTTGCAATTTCTACAAGTAGGTATTCTTTGCAATGTGAAAAGAAGTTTCATAATCTCACCAAAGCAACCAAGATAAGCTATCTGATGCCACCTTACCTTTCACTACAATCTCGTTATATTTGTGTGCAACATATTCACAGTTGCAGAGGAATCAGAGATGAAAGTAAGATCTTATAATGGGAAGAAAAGGCTCTTTGGAAGCAAACTACTTTCTGTCTGTTTTCTCAAATCAGTTGAGATCTACTTTGAAACTAAACTAGTTAGGTGAACATCTTATTCACAAGGAGCACTGAGGGCCATCTCAGATAACCTAAGATAGATGGCATGGATCATGGCAGCTTTCAATTGCATTCTTAGTGCCTATTTCCACAAAGATTTGACAATGACAATTTTTTTTAGTATATGATACCCAACCGAGAATAGATATTTATTCTCTATCGGTCTCATTTTATGTTTCAAATAGAACTTTTCAAGCAGGTAACTCAATTCACTTATCTACTGCTTTGAAATAAGTCCAGTATATCTCAAGTTTAAGTGATGAAATTTCTGAGAGCAGATTTTGATCTTATTATCCTGTTGTTTGCAAACATGCAACACTGTGCAAAAAGGGAGCATCTTCTATCTGTAGCCAGTTCCACTGGATTTTAGATTGAGTGTACCCTGCCTTAAACATGAAATGCTGCTCTTCTGCACAGAATTCTGCCACATTGTCCAAGTATTCTAAGCGCCTTGGAAACTCTAACTTTACACATAAGAAAACATACCCTTTACGTGTTTACTTTGGCACTAAGAGGGTCCAAGATTAAATTTTAGCCTTTTGTAAAATTAACTTATCCATAGTAGAGAGGGGTGGGATACCAAAATTAACCTCATCATCTGAATTGTTTCCAGCAACCTTTGCTGGTCACCCAGTGTGAATGTCAGATAGGGCAAGATCAGTCTCTGTTCACTCATAAAGAATGGGTCAGGTATCAGAGACCAATAGACATCCATAGCATCACACTTGATCAAGGAGTCAATGCCTTATGCAAGAAAGAGGAGAAAGATTATTTCATATCTCATGCTGTGGGGTCCTTGGAGAAAAGGCATAAGTGTCTATTTTTAATAATCCACCCTATATTCATGACTTTCATGTACTAAGTCCCAGAGAAGTCAGCAAAAATTCCGGATATGTATATACAAGTTCCTGAAGTAGTTGATGTTGTTATGACCAGCCTTTAGCACAGTCATTGCATTGCTGAGTATTGGAGGTATCTTAGAGCTTCTCTGGAAAAAGAACATTCCCTGGAGTGAGATAGCTTCTTTTAGCAGCAATAGCTTCAAATAGTAAAGAGGACTCCAGTGTCTGTTCATTGGAAGGTCAAACGTGTAGTTAAAATAAACAATAGCAACCTTTGTATGATATTTGGGGAAGAAAAAGTTTTGGATTTGCAATACTTAACCTGTCAAATATAGAAAATAATTAGTACTTCAAGCCATGATGAAAAGTTGACAGACAAAGCTAAAACACTGGGTTACAAAATTGGAAAAAAAGCTATCAGTTATCTTTGGATAATATGGTCCTGTTAGTTACAAAACTTAACTTAGTTTGATTGAAGATGGAGTTTGATTTTGAATGATTTTGTATAATTGTTAACAGGTGCGTGTGAGGATCCTGGATATTTTCCATCACAATTGAAGCGCGCTGACTGGGCAATTCATGCTATCGAAGAAGGTCGTCGGACGGTGGTAAATTACATCAGTCCAAATATACAACCACTTTTAAACCTCTTAGTGAATAAGAAAATAATATCTGAAGATGATCATAATGCAATAAAAGATAAACCAGACATTGATAAAGGGCGAACTCTTCTCGACATGCTAAGCCACAGAGGGCAGGAATTATGTGCTAATTTTCTCAATGTGCTACAAGACACTGAAGACTATTATCCTGGCTTAAAACAGTTTATAACAACACTGCTGGAATCCTACACTGACAAAGTTGACAGGCCAACTATTGATCTTCTCCATGAAAACCTACCAATCGCTTCATTTGAGGGGACCAATGAAAAAATCCAAATAACCGATTTCCTTGAAGGTAAGCATGATTTGTCAAAGATGAGCTCTTGGATGTTCGTAACAAATAGACATCTCCACATTTAACATTCTAGTATTGTTAACAGCCTGGATCCATTGATTTTGAAATTCTTTAATAGCGATGGATGGAAACATAATTTAAACCCATTATAGATAAATCTGTATTGATATAGATTCACCTAATGTTTCAGTTCACTTATTTTGGTGAAGGTCTAGGACCTGTTGTCAAGTCTGTATCAATCATGCTTGGTTTGATGCCTTCACACTTAAAGGGGGCAATTTTCATTCCAGTATTAGAAGTGGGTGTCATAATAGGAAACTCCCAACATCAGTCTCCAGCCAGAGTTGCTTACAGGTAATTCACATGAACACTTCTCCTAAATTCCCCATTCACCAGCTCCCCTCCCCCATTCACCATCCAAGTCACTATCTAATCCAGTTCATCTACTAAACAATAGCAAGCTTCCACCCCATTGATTGTCATTGGCCTATGTGATGCCAGGTTTTATCAAGTCCACAATTACACTGAAGAATTCTGCAGATGTCATTGTCTTTGATTTTTTTTGGAAGTTCTAATTGATGTACATTGCAAACCTTAGGGATTTCTGGATTAGGTTAATGGAAGCCATGCCATTATTACTATGCATAGCACATCAGAAAGAATCAGCTTCTTAAAGGACAGCTTTCAATTCCATGATGTCTTGTCTTCTTATACAGAGTGCACCAGCATTGATTTTAATAACATACTGTGTTTATTACATAGTGAAATGAAATACATTATAGTTTAAACTTGGTATCTTCTTATCTTTCTACAAGAAATATTTTAATTCTTAAAGTGTGCTACAATTTATAATATGCCTTACAATCCTTTAGATACACAAGTAAGCCCCTGTTATTCAGTTTCCAATTATTTACCTTTCAGATGAGCCATTTTTTGTAGGGCAAAGTCCTGTAGCAGATGTTGTCATATGGAGTATAATCCCAAAAACTATGTTGACACTATAATCTCCTTAGTTCAACATAAATCAACCTTGTGGAGCAAGAAAGATTAAGTTTGATTTCCTTGTTTTCATTGGGTAAATGTACGATATGTGTAACATAGTAAGTATGGTGACACTGTCAGATTTGCTGGGGACTCGTTCATTATAAGAGACAATGCAAGTTTCACCTTGCCTTATGATTTTTCTCTTGTAATTACAGAAATCTCTGAAGTTGTGGCCACCCATAAAGAAACAGTAAAAGCACAAATGGAGAGAATTAAACCATACTTTGCATTTGATAACTCCAGACCTTTGCTACAAGAACATTTTACCAGTTTAGTCATTCTCAATGTTCGAGAAAGGAATAAAACAGAACATGAACTCCTACAATACAGAGACTATACAGCATGTGAACGTATAGATTTAAGACAGCTTCTTTCACCATCTGCGCCTGGGGAAAAACCACCACAAGTCACTCTAGTGCAAGGAGTGGCAGGTATAGGCAAAAGTGTTATGATGCAAAAGGTCGCCCATAGTTGGGCCTGTGGAACCCTTTATGCTGGGTTTTATATACTGCTGTATTTCAGTTTTCGGGAGCTGAACACAATCAAGGAGAAAATTAGTCTAACTGAGCTTATTGTACGTAGTTACCCTCATCTGAGAGCAGTGTGCACTAGGATATTAGAATGGCCCAGTAGGATTCTGTTTTTATTTGACGGATTGGATGAATTCAAATCATCTCTTGAATTTGGCATTTATTCTCATGTTGACATCTCCATTGCTCAACACACTAACCATTTGATTGCAAGCATTATAAAGGGAGACCTTGTTCATGATGCAACCATCCTTATTACATCCCGCCCAACCACAATTGATTTGGAGAACAAAGCATATTTTAATCGTTGTGCTGAAATTTTAGGATTTTCCAAAAATGAAATTGCTGCATACTTTTTGAAATGCCTCAAGGATAAAAAAGTTGCTGAACATGTCTTTCGAACAGTGAAGAGCAGTGATTCCTTATTTGGACTTTGCTATGTTCCTGCATTTTGTGACATTCTGTGTTTCTACCTCCACAAATCCTTTCACAGTAAAGGCAAGTGGTCTCAGCTCTCTTCCTTTCCCAGGACAATCACAGATTTGTTCCTCAGATTTACCAAGTGTTTATTGGTCTGTGACAATGATGAGGAAGAAGACCCTGAATCCTTTTGCATAGAAGATGATGAAGACAAAAATGAGATCATTAAATTAGCACAACTTGCATGGGATGGAGTCATCAATAAAACAATAATATTCTCAGCAAAAGATGTTGAAAAAAATATTGCTCAAGGCACAAAATCCTTCTGGAAAAAAATTCTCAACAAAGAGAGCCTGAAGATGATGCAGTCTCACATTTGGCAATTTTTCCATTTGACGCACCAAGAGTTTTTTGCAGCATTATATTGCATTTCTGCAAATGAACCTAGTGTGGATCATGTGCATAAAGCCTTCAGTTCAAAGAGCAGTGTGTTTGAGATTGTACTAAGGTTCACTGCTGGCCTGGTGTCTCACAGCAACAGAAAACTTGTGAAGCAATTGATACCTAGACATCAAGTTAAAGAAAGAGAAGTCTTTGATGCCATCAAAAATATTGCTGCAATTGACATCCCTAAAGAAGACATGCTAACTCCAGAAAACAGTATAGAGTATACAGCACACAAAAGACAAAAACTTACAGCTTCGCATTGTCTGTATGAAGCGGCAAATGAAAATTTAACACAACAAGTTGCCTCCCAAACCAGTGATATTGTAAACTTTTCTTACATTTCCTTGAATGTGACTGACTGCACTGCAATTGCAAACCTTCTTTCTTATCATACAACTATTGAAACACTGGAATTAGATGGATGTAAAGCTGGAGCTTTGGGTTTCCAAAGACTAGAGTCTGTTTTCCCAAGAGTCAAAACACTGAGGTATTAAAATGTGTTTTTTTTTGTGTATGAGCTTGAAAAAATGGAAATACCCTGGAATTTTGGTGATTTGGTCATTTTGTCTTTTAAAGATACAGCGATAAGTGTTTAGTAGATTTATGCTTAATATTAAATTAGTTTACCAGAGTATCATGCATTTCATGTAAATGATGCTGTCAACATCCTTCATACATGCCTACAGTAAATATTATGGTTGTTTTTTTGGTTTTCATATTGAGTTGTTCTGCAATTGATACATTTATCTTGTGGCAAATATTTTTAAATCTTTATTACAAATTCATATAAAAAGTACAAGATCTATAGATGCTGGAAATTAGAAACAATTTTTCCAGCAATCTCTGCTTTTGTTACAAATTCAAACATTTGGTATGGAAGTTTCTTCAACAGTAAAAAAAATGAAAATCTTTATATTTGATTGTTAAATAGCAGATTAATACAATATATGCGTAGATTCGAGAGCAATGGTCTAACATAGTTGTATGCAGGTCCCATAAACAACTTCGGTTCACAATGCTTAGACGGTTGCTTTAGGACTATGCAGTGACTATGAGCAACCTCTGAAAATTTGCGTTTTGACTTAGATACTTTATGTGCCACAGTAGTGCGAGCCACTCATTATGATGTTAGCTATGGCTATGTAATGTTATCATCTCTGAGTCAGTAGGTTTTAGATTAGCCTTGAGCACAGTCTTCAGGCTGACCTTCTGCTGTACCAGAAGGTGCACTATCTTTGGATTCAGCGTTAAACTAAGGCCCTGTCTACTCCCTCAGGTAGATTTAGAAGATTTCATGTTAATATTCAAGTAAGGTATCTCGTCAATGGTTATCCCTCAAGTGACATCATTAGGAAAGATTATCTGGCCAATAATCTTATTGCTATTTTCACGTTGTTTGCCAGATTCTCACATCACAAGTGAAATGTGCTTTATTGGGCGTAAAGTGCCAGGAACGTCTTGAAGTCGTGAATACCATCTTACTAAATGCAAATCTTTCAGTGTAATTAGCCTTTCAGGCAATGTTTGCTGACACTGGCAATTGTGGGCAACTATGCATGTGTGCACGTTCAGAAATGTGCATGCGTACGTTTCCAAACAATATGTCATCGCAAGTTTATATGTGACATCACACAGAAATGTAGTACTGCCCACAGGAATTTGAACAGGGCTTCAGTGATGGGGAAAGGGTGCACGGGACATTGATGGGGAGGGGATTGCTCACTTCTTCTACGGTCCTTTCAGTCTCCCTCTCTCCCCACCCCCTCCCAGCCCCAATGTGATTTAAAGTAGTGCATGGTGCACATATGCTGGTGTCAGCAAACACAGCCATTGCTAAAACTTCCATCCATACCCATGTCATATAGATTTAGCTACTCCAATGTTCTCCTAGCAGGCTTCAAACTCACTAAATTTCAGGTCAGCAAACTCCCCTGCATGCATTCATCCATCATCCGTCACTCCTTCTCATGTTGGCTCCTGATCCACCAGTGCCTCAAATTAATTCTCATCCTTCGATTTTGAATTTGCCAATCATTTTATCATTCCTAATTTCCCTAACTATCAAAATTCTGCCTGGAAACTCTAGCTAGAGCATTCCCCTATCACCCGCCCCAACCCCATGATTGACAATTGTGCCATCAGCCCCAGTATTTTGGAATACTGATCTAATACCCCACTGCCTGTTCCGTCTTTTACCTCCTCAAAACCCCAGTTTCATAACCCAGCCTTTAGTCATTTCTCTATATCTCTTCCTATGGTTCAACAGAGAGTGAATGGCATAGTGTTAATGTCCTAGTGTTCGTAATGTCATAGTGCTATTGACCTAGGCTAATGCTAGTGGACATAAGTTTGAATCCCATCATGCTAGTTGGTGAAATATTAGTTCAATTAATAAATCTGGAATTAGAAACGTGTCTTTTGGTGACCATAAAACCATTGTCGCTTGTCATAAAAACACCTCTGATTCATTAATGCCCTTTAGGAAAAGAATTCTGCCCTCCTCATTTTGTCTGGTCTACATGTGACCACAGATTCATAGCAATGTGATTGACCCTTAACAATGTGATTGACTCTTAACTACCATCTGAAGTGGTCCAGCAAGTCACTCAGTTGTATCTAACTACTACAAAGTCTAATAAAAGGAGTGAAACTGGATTGACCATACGGCATTGATGAAAACACCAGAAGCAACAACAGAATGCCCATCCCTGTCCACCCTACAAAGTCCTACTTACTGACCCTGGGAGTGAGCTTGTGCAAAAATTGCTCCACAGTTGCTCCACAGACTAGTCAAGCAACAGCTTGATATAATCATACAGATGGCACCATGTCTTACAGACAATGTTCCTGACGTCACCCATCACCATTTCCAGAGGTGGCAACGCAGTCAGGAGGGAGTTGCCCCAGGAGTCCCTAACATTTACTCTGGACCTTGTGAAATCTTACATTGTTGGATTAAACATAGGAAAAGAAACCTCCTGCCAACTAGCATTCTTTGCCACTCCCTCAACACCACCCTGTCCACTCCACCCCACCTCTGGAGAACTGGCTTTACAACAGGTGGTGAGGGAACCAACAAGAGGGAAAAATTGTACTTGACCTTGTCCCCACTAATCTACCCATAGCAGGTGTATCCACATTGTTCTTTTGTTGACATAGGCCTGCCTTCACATTGAGGTTGCCCTCCATTTTGCTGTGGGGAATACCGCTGTATTGAATGGAATAGATTTCAAACTGATCTTCAACTCAAGACTGGACATCCATGAGTCACTGTGGGCCATCAGCAGGAGCACAGCCGTACTCATCTATAGTCTGCAACATCATGATCCAGCATATCACCCACTGTATCATGATGGTAAAGCCAGGGATCAGTCCCGGATCAATGAAGAGAAGAGGAGGCCATGCCATGAGCAAAAATGGGCTACCTAAAATTGAGGTGTTAACCAGTACAGCTATAGGAATGAAAATGTCATTAGTTGAAAAATATTCGTAAATGCCAGGCTAACAACAAGGTGATAATTTTCTTTTCGTTCACAGTTTAGAGGGAAACATGCTGGAGGATGAAGGAGCAGAGATCATTGCGAATGCACTCAGAAGTAAGATGTGCAGAATAGAAATTTTAAGGTAAATTGTCTTTGTCTGTTTCACATCTTTAAAATGGCATAGTGGATAAAATCAAATATCAACACCAAATTTTTGTTCACTACTAAGATATAAACTAAACAGAATGTTATTGACTGAAAACTGAGTTTTTAGGAGTTAAAATTCACAGCCAAAGAATGACAAAGTTAATTCTAAACTCTTTCCTTGAACTGTCATATCATTACAGTGTTGATTCCAGGTTCTTAAATTTGTACTTTATAGGAGCCAAGACTTACTTTGTATGTCTTAAAGATTAAATTGTTAAAAGTTATGATTAGTACAATTTTCTGTTGTTATTTTTGTTTTATTAGACTATTTGATTGAAATACTGTTGCTAAAGACAGTATGGAAATTGGGAGGGCTCATTGAAGTAAACGATGCAAAGAACGCATATTAGCATAAAAGTAGTAATTAATTATTGGGTTTTCAGTGATTATTATATCAATTATTCAGTATTTTGCCATGCAAACTTTTCCAAACTAGTTCTCTGATAGTACCATCAGCATTCACTGTTCAAGACAAAATCTTTAAACAAACTTTAAACAAATCAGTGAATGTGTAAGGACTCTGAAAAAAGGATAGCAATCTTAATCATGATTCTGTGCAACTGATTTTTATTGCACGGTGGCTCAGTGGTTACTACTGCTGCCTCACAGCACTAGGGACCCAGGTTCGATTCCACCCTCGGGTGACTGTCTGTGTGGGGTTTGCGAGTTCTCCCCGTGTCTGCGTGGGTTTCCTCCAGGTGCTCCGGTTTCCTCCCACAGTCCAAAGATGTGCAGGTTAGGTGGATTGGCCATGCTAAATTACCCGTAGTGTTCAGGGATGTACAGATTAGGTGGGTTATAGGGATGGGTCTGGTTGGGATGCTCTGAGGGTTGGTGTGGACTTGTTGAGCCAAAGGGCCTGTTTCCACACTGTAAGGATTCTATAAATTCTATAAAAATTCTTCTATAAATAATAGAAGCTGATGACCTGTCAAACTTATTTTTTTCAAATCTATCACATCATTAGTTTTAGCTGGTTGTAAATAATAATCTTGATTCTCAAAATTAAAATTGACTCAAAATGTTATTTGCACCATTGTATTTGTGATTCTAATTAAAAGTAGTACTATAATTGGAACATTAAATTATAAGCCCTGTTTGACACATGAAAATATGTTTCCATCTTGTTCTTTATAGTAAGAACCTACATTTCACTTTTTAACTGCAATAAATAATTCCCCTGTATGCTGTGCATACTGGACTTTTTGGGCAATTTCCAAATCAATTATAAGTAAATCAGATGCTTTCAGTGAAATGATGGACTACAGTGTATCACTATAGCTATATCACTAGCTTCGGGTCCAGGCAAATTATACAAATGATATAGTGTCTGAATATCTGGAACTTTCACAACTCCATACAGGAAAAAGGAGCAGCCCAAATAGCTGATGCATTGAAAACAAACAGGAGTCTGAAAACATTGGGGTATGTAATCAACTTGGCAAAGTAGAATGTTTATCAAACTTGCAGTAGAATTTATAAATAAAATTAACTGCTGTTAAGATGTCTGATGATTTTACTTTGTTTACTTTAACAAAATCCCTCTGATTTCACTAGATTAAGAGCAAACTCTGTCCGAGCTAAAGGTGCTCGTTCAATGGCTGAAGCTCTAGAGATCAACACAACATTGCGAGTTTTCGGGTATTGTTTATTTTCCTCAAATCTTTTGTGCACTACTTGGTGATATTACTAAATTTCAGGACAGTACTGTTCGTAGTTGATATTGTTAAGTCCATGTTGGATCCTCATCGTGACCAAGAGGAATTCTCAGAAGTGCTGACAAAATAACTTGTATGATTAATTATTTAATAAAACCAAGGTAACATGAATTGTATCACCCAGCTATAACTAGAGGCATGACTACATTATTAAATTATTAGTAGTAGTATTGTCCTCTGTAAGTGTTCATTTAAAAATAAGGCCTGAACCCATTGGGAGATATGCTGTGTCACCAACATTTCTCAGTGCCTCAGAGGAAATTTTGACCTTTGCAAAGTGAAAAGTAGTCACTGCTAGAGCAGTTGATTGGCTTTCCTTAAGCTAGGAGCTCTCCCTACATTGCAGCAGTGTGCCTCTTTGTATTGGTGATAGATGGTGTGCAGAGTGCTGGCCTATCAGCTTCCACAAGATTGACTGTGGACCCCAATTGTAGGTCAAATTAGCACCCTTTGTGTATAGAACTAATTGCCAGGAGCAGTAGCAATTAGAACTGGGAAATCCCCATTACAAAGGAAAAATGAGCATTGAAGCTGCTGTCAAGAATAGACGGACTGTTTCAAACAGTCTTACACCTGCCTAATCCATGCATATAAAACTTATTTTTTTGAAACTTACCTTACAAATTAATGGAATCTTTCTGAGGAATTTTGGAACTTTTTTCTCTCTATTCATGGTCTTCATTTAGCTTGGCCAGAGAGAGATTCCCACCACATGAGAATATAGGTGTGATCCTGCACTCTACAAATGAATGGCAGAGCACTTGATGCTCCAAAGCACTGTTCCATTACTGCTAGATAATTGAACTTTCTATTTTTTAAATCCCCATTTTTTTCCCTCCCTTTCTGAAAGCAGTTTCCTGGTTGCAGGATGGTTCCATCATACTAAGCGTGCATTTCTTCATCCATGAATCTAAATATTCACAGCCAGTATTGCAAATATACCTAAAACTGATATGGTTATTATCTTCTTATCGATGGATGGCAATGTAGAAATCACTAGCTCTAAAACTAGAAAGCCTGGCTCAATTTCATTATCTCTCTCTCACCTATGGGCTATGAACCAACGCTCCATGACCACCTGAAGTTAAATGACCTAAACTCGCATCTGTTGAAGATTGAACCTAGGAGTTTAATGATCTTCATTTTGTTCCACAGTGGGAATCTCCCTCTGGCCAAGCAAAATGAAGACCATGAATAGAAAGAAAAAAGCTCACAGTGTTAACAAATTGTGTTACTTTGGAGCTAAGAGGGCTGTTCTCATTATTGAAGGGAAATTAAATATATTTATTTGTCCTGTCTCAGTTTGCAGTTTAACAAGATCGGAGATGAAGGTGCAATGTATATGGCACAAGCAATGAAAAAAAATCGCAGCTTGGTTGAGTTAAGGTAATTGTTTAAATGTAAACTCACACCAGAACATTTTCTCCAATCTCAAACTCCCAAGTGCACTTATTTCCATTTGAGCTTTTAAGTTTGATTTCACAGACAGCTTATATTACCTGGTGGCTTGGCACTTGCCAGTCTGCTCATGTGCTGAGCCTGGCTGATGTTTGCCCTGAGCTTCAGTTACATTGGGCAGAGGCAATGGGAGTCTTGCCTATGAGCTGGAAATCTATGGGAGCCCTGTGTCACCTCTTTGTTGTTAAATACCGATGAGACACTGTATTGGGCAGTGATGGGCCTTTCCCAGAATCAATGACCCAAAGGGAAGAAGTACCACCCAAAAAGAGCTGCTCACCCACCAGAAGCCAGCAGCACTTAATTGTTAAAAATGGCACCGGGGGGCCAGAGGCTGTTGCTTAGGCACCCACCTGAAGCCTAGGATCAGCTAGGCACAGGCCAAGGGAGTCATGGGCTGGATGGGAGGAGGGTTGGCAACTCGGACAGAGAGGGATCTCGCAATGGAACCCTTATTCCTGATGCTGGGTCCCTTGAGTAAGCTTTGAGTGCCTTGGAATGAGGGAACACACACACACACACACACACCTAACTGCACACCCCAAGCATCAAGCATGCACCAGTTAAGGTTTGCTCTCTGGGCTCCCTCCATTGGTGAGGTCTCCCTCTGCCCCACTCCACGCCTCACCATGTTACTGGGTGAATACCAATGGTGGTACTATGAGAGGCTTAAGTAGGTATACATTTCCTAATTCAAAGCGTCAGTTAGTGTTGGGTCAGCCAATTTCCCCGTGTGATTTTCCACCATAGAATTAACTGGGCTGGAGGCAAGTCATTGTTTATTTTTAAGAGAATAGCTCCTTTAAAAGTGCTCTGTTATTTCCTTTTTCTTGTATGTCATCATTGATTCGTACCTTTTTATATTTAAGGATTTCAATTTACATGTTACTGTACTTTCTGGGTGGCTGATTAATAAAATGGATAATATTTGTTTGTAGACTCGGAGACAATGATATCACTGAAAAAGGGAGCGATTATTTTAGAAGTGCTTTAGAAGTCAATGACATGCTTGAAGAGTTGTGGTAAGAATTTTGTTTTATTGTTCATGAATTAAAATTGTTGTTTATTTAGAATTTTTTAGTTGATCACAATCATAGAAGATTGAAATTTTCTTGGAAGCTCCATTTTAAAGCTGCTTAGCCAGACTTGATGATGAATCAATGGTGGATAGTATTGTAATCAGTATAAATGAAAATGCAAAAGAAATATTGATAGTTTAGACGAATAGGCAAAATTGTGGCTAATCGATTTCAGCATAGTCAAATATAAAAGGATAAAACACAGCACTTTCCAACTTGTGAAAAGCTAAAGACTTTGGACATCTGAAGAGACCTGATGAAATGGGGTCCATGGACACAGCATATTAAGACTATTAATACTAAAAGAGTTAAATGAATGCTGGTCCTTATATCTACTGGGACAGGATGCAAGCGGGTAGAAGACAGCTATACAAATCCTGGTTAGGCTACACCTGCAGCACTGTGAACAGTTCTGAGCCCCACACGCTTGAGAGGATATAAAGTATTGGCCTTGGAGGTAATGCAGTGTAGCTTTACGGGAATAATACCTTGACTCCAAAAGTAAAATTATGATGAGATTACATAAATTTATGTTGTATTCCCTGGAATTTGGAATATTTAAGGGTGATTTGGTTGAAGTTTTCAAGATATTAAGAACAGATAAGATAGATTGGGAGAGACTATCTAGTTATGTTGTATTCATCAAGGACCATTGTAAAAGAAAACCAGGTAAACCTTTTTAAGAATGGAAGTAGGAAAAACTTCTTCATGCAAAGAGTGGTAGAAGTTTCAAACTCTCTGTCACAAAAAGTAATTGATGCTGGATTAATTGTTAATTTCAAAACTGAGATTGATCAATTTTCATTAGCCAAAGACATCAAAGAATATGGAATGTAGACAGGTAAATACAGTTACGTTACAGATCAGTGAGAAGTTCTGTGAATGATGGTATTGCTGCAGTGGACTAAATGTTCTACTTTTTCTGCTTTTCGGTGTGTCTATGCTGTGATCCCACCAAAAAAGGAGGCAGAAATAACAGCCAGATTTTAAAATTTGACCTTTGTTTTAGTAACAATGAAATTCACATTATAGGAAGAAATTAAAGTTTCTTATTTAAAATGCTACTGAAGTAAAGAGAAGTGTAAGATACTAATAGGCATGTTTATTTTGTTTAAACTGGCAAATAACTTAATATTTACAATTAATTCTATTTAAAAATAAATAAAAGTTAATTTCAGTCACCATTGTGTCAAAGAAAATCAGACTACAATAACCCAGTGTTCAACATAACTGCTCATGTTGGGTATTGTAGTGATTGTGATGAAGTCAGTCAGGCAAATATCATCGAATATGAGTTCCCTGATTGAGGCTGTTAATCTGGTCCAACCAGGGAGCCCTGGTTTACGGATAAAAATAGGAGTGTCAGAGATCCTGTTCACTGTAAGAGCTGGCTCTGAGGGAGCTGGATCAGTGTCAAAGACTCTCCACGTGTAAATAAAGGGTGACTTGGTGACAGGATACCAGCCTCTGTGGAGTTAGTTCAGGTTTCAACAAGAGGACACATTTATCCTTTAATTTCAGAACCATCTCAAAACATCCAGTATATAATAATTAAACTGACATATTTACATAATCTCCCACAACTTTTTTTTGCAGTGAGTCAGAAGAAATTATGTATCATTTAGTGTTTGTTGTAACAATTTGAAAGATGTTACAGTTGTCACCTGGAATGGGAATAGTTAAAAAAATGCATGTTCTGGTCACATTTAAAGCACAGTTTTCTCTGGCTGCACTTAAGCCAGAAAGAAAATTTAGTGTGCATCATTTTATACATGAGATTTCCACCTTGACTTTCCTTTCTGTATTGCATCCAAACAAGTACAAGAGTAAAATAAAAAAAAGGCCCATCATTCCTCCCTGTGGATGAAGAAAGAACTGCAGGATAAAACAGCTTTTACAAAACAGTCAGAGATGGTAAAAACTGCTGATGCTGCAGTCAAAGATAACACAATGTGGAGCTGGAGGAACACAGCAGGCCAGGTAGCCCATTTCTGAAGAAGGGTCCTGACCCAAAACGTCAACTTTCCTACTCCTTTTTTACAAAATGGTCTTTCATTTCAATATCCTAGTGTTTGACTCTTTTACTCACTGAAGAACTGAAGTTTTTTGAGCCTTACCCTTAGAATCCTTTGATGTCTTTCTCTTTTAGGATTCTGGTGAATAACATATCAAATGATGGAAAGGAAAGACTGAAAAATGCCAATTGCAAAAACCCAAATATTCAACTGAATTAATTTCGGAGAATTAAGCACATAGGTATGTGTCTTGTATAAGTGGACAGCGAAAGATAGAAGTTCCTTCTATGTGTTTATGTTATGAGTACAAAATGTTTGGTCAGTAAAGCACGTCAGCCGTGAAAAATTTAATTCTTCTATTTGTGTTCTTGTCAGGATTGTAAAAGCAACATTTTATTAGGTCTTTGGGCATAGGATTGGATGCAAAGGATTAACACTTGGCAGAACAATCTCAGTGCCTCTCACCCTTTCTAGTGGCACCTTGAGTGTGCTGATGGTAACCTAGCAAGTAGTAGTGGGAAGCCAATTGATGCCGTTAAGTAATTAGCAAAGATTTTCCAAGGGCAATGGAATCTTTCAGGTAGCACATGGAACCCTGCCTTGTGCTTGTCAGTTATTCACAGGGACTGCTGGGCACCTTTCCAATCTTATGATCAAAATCAGTCTCCCGCCTGCCACCCTGACAGCAATCCTGGGGCACCCTCTTAATTGAATATCTCTAGAAAGATATTCTAGATATCGCCAGCAGTCCCTGCTGGTAAGAAACATAAGTTTGGTTGTTATGTTATTGTATAGATTCCAGACCAGTGTACTTTAAGACATTATATGACATCATAACATGTGACATTCCAAAATAAATGTATCCACTTCACCTCTAACATAGTGCAATGAAGCCAGTGTAGTGTGTTCAGTCAGTCAGATACGTGTATGTAAGGTACATAACATAATTAAGCACAAAACCCAGATTGTGTGTAAGTGTGTGATATGCTAACAATTTAAATAGTTAATGTTGTCGATAAACTTCAGGATACCTATCTTATCTAGACTCTTTCTTTTTAAAATAGGACGATCACAAATGATCCAATTTTTAACAATGGGTCTTTTACAGTGCTGCAGCATAGCTGCAGTGCTAAAATAATATTCATCAAAATACAAACAAAAAGGGGAAAGCAACAGTTTTCTACGCTAATAAGGTCATACCTGTGCCCAGACATCAGTTGATTCCGCCATCTTGCTTTTGGGATACAAATAAAAACTAAAATAGGACTGCATGATGTCACAGCTCTCTCTTTGTGGAAATGCCATCTAAAGGCACAAGCCTGCTGCTTGGAAAGCAACAACAAGGAAAAAAAGAAACCAACGACAGACAAAAAATGCCCTACATTGCAATATGAATTCTTATACTGTCAGTTTTAAAGAACACCGTAAAGATGGAAATCTGTGCATGGATTATTACTCCATTGCCAATTTATTAGAACTTCAGTTATTTAAAGAAAGAATCAATCTTTACTTTCTGGACCAACAAATAATTGATAAATAATAATAGACAGTCGAACTTTTTATTGCTTTGTGTAGCACAGAAATATTCCCTAAATAGTGAATTAGGAGCCATTTTGTGCTCTGAGGCCATCTCCAATTGTGGATTGAGACTAGGGGAATGCAAACTGGACAGATTTGTGTCTGTTTCCTGAGTGACAGTAACTTGGGGACAGCTGTCCAGCAGCAATTTCCTATGCTTGGAGATCTTTGGAAGAGCACAGTGACTTCCAAGTGTCATAGGCACCCTCTGTAACGAGCCAAATGCCTTGAATGCTCAAAATTGAGGTCCTAGTGCTAGTTTTGAACCCTGCTGCAAAATGGTTGTCAGCTGCACACTGTCTGCATATTCAACTGTTCTGGATCTTTAATGTCTAATTTAGGTCTGCTCAATGGATTAGGGACTATCCACAAAAACAGGGGAGGATTATTTTCTTTCTGGATTTTAATTTCTGTGAAACTAGGTGAAGCAGCAGTTGTCCTGTTCCCAGAGAAATTCTCTACGCTGGTGCTGCTTCAGGTTCATTACCTCTTTCTCTGCCTTGTCTCTACAAATCAGCTCCCCAACCTCCAGGGCCAGCCTAATTAATATTTTGAACTCTCCAACCCATAAGCTGCATGAGCTACCCAACTACCATCTACAGCTTGTTGCTGATGCCCCAGGGGCAATTTTGATCAATTCTCATTGGGTGTCATTTCTTCATCTATTTCAAATAAAAACTGACATTGAGCAATTTAGTCTTACAGCCAGCGGAGGTAGAAGTCTTGTTCGGATTGTGTTTCAGCTTAGCCAAAAATGGCATGAACTGCGAAATATTGCGTACATACTTGTACAATATATTTCAAGGCATATCAAAGGTGTGCAAACATTTGAGTCAAATATACAATCCAATTACTAGATGTGACTCTTGTGTTTTTATAAATATGACTTGGAGTGTAAAAGAAAGATCATTCTCTGACACTGATACTGGACTTTTTCTGATGAAGGGTCTAGGCTGAAACGTCAGCCTTTCTGCTCCTATGATGCTGCTGTGTTCATCCAGCTCTGCACCTTGTTGTCTCAGAGCCTATGATTACTTGGGTAGCCTAATAGGTGTATATAGTCACAACACTGATGCAGCCTGGCTGTGCTATACGAATGTATGCAGGAAGCTTCATGTGTAGGCTCTGTTCGGGTCACTATGGTGGGTGAACAACAAGAATGTTATTCTATCCTGTATTGATAGGCAGTGTTCATTGTTGTAAAGTAAAAATAATTGTTCTAAAATACAAACAGAAAGTACTGGAAAATCTCTGTTGGTCAGGCAACATCTGTGAATGCAGCAACAGAGTTAACATTTTGGGTCCTATCTAACACTTTGAGGAAAAGTACACTCAGATTCAAAAAGTTACCCCTGTTTCTCACTCTATGGATGCTGCCAGTCCAGCTGAGTTTCTGCAGTGCTTTGTTTCAAATTTCCATCGTTCTCAATATCTTGCTTTTGTTTTAGTGATATTTGTTCCCTCCATTCCTGAAACTTTTAATTTCTTGCCTTAAATCATGTTTAGGAGCTACGTGGCAAGAGAAAAGTGTATTTCATTAGGACACTGAATTTAGCATTTTTCTGGATTGAACAGGACTAATAATGAACTCTGCTCAACTGTTCCAGGATCAGCAATTTTATACGGTGCGAAATATTCCTGACTGTCACCAGTGGAAAATGGATGGATACCAGAAATCAACATTGACAAACTGAAGAACTTTGATGACACTGAGCACGTTCCATGATGTGACTCTTCTTTAAGAAAGTGCAGTACTTTTGAAAATGAACTGGTTAAATCACAGGCTTATAAAAGGGGACATGTTTGTGTTGTTGATGCCTAGGTTTGTTGGTGCCAGCTTAAGGTATATTTCTGAAACTATCCATCATAAACACTCAGCGCAGACAGCACCCTTCAATTGAAGTGTCTTGAGGTGAAAGTTTAAGCTTTATTTCTTACTTATTTTATTTAGGAAAACATATGTATATAAGTTCTTTGGATGTGACACATTTCATCCTTCATCCGACTTTGGAGGATATTTTTTGTGGGACTGCACGAACATATGGGCTAGACAAGTTTCCTTCGCTGAGGGAGATAATGAATGCTAGTCTTACAACAGCAAGGATAAAAAATTCCATTCTGTTAAATGTTGGTGCTTTTAACATCTTTTTAAAAGAAAATGAAATGTACAAATAATATTTTTTTTAAAAAATATACAATTTTATTTTGATTTGAAGTCTTTTACTAAAGTATTATTTTTTGATGAGTTTCAAAACTTTGAGTAGTGCTATTCGCTTATAAAATTTCAATGTAGCTTTTCTTCATTCCTCTCTGCACTGTTCTAGTGCAAATGTTACACTGTCAGTATCAGCACAGTGCAGAAAATAATTTAATAGATTTACTTTGTGTGTTTTTCTAACAGCAGCAATATAATTTAAATCCTGTACATTTCTAATTAATATGAATTCAGAGGTTCTAAGGATGCTTCTTTGCTGTCCACACCATTTTTCTGAATTCAGTGAATCAGAACGTATTTAAACCTCGGTGCAGAGCACATGCTTTCAACCAACACTTGAACACATGTATTTCCTGCAATGGAGCTCTGTAGTAATCAGATGAAGAAGAAACCTATCCAATTTGCTGTGGCTGGTCTTGGTACAGTGAGACTCCTGCAATTAACAGAATTTACACAAACCAGAATCTGAACCAGGACCTTATTGTCCTGTCCTGGGAGATTTGTACTACGTTATATGAACCAAATCTCTGCTGAGGGAATTCTGCATTAACAATCTCATGATTTAAGGGCTGCAAGAATGTTTCATTATTATTAGATTGTACAACAATGATATTGTATCCAACTTGTGTTTTGTGATCAAAAATAAATGCATTTATTTTGAGTTTATATTTAGGGAAAATGTCACTTTTCTGCAAGGTCAGACCAACTGATCATCAACCCACATTATTGGAATAAAAAATTTCTAGACTAAACCATGCCCTTTGAAGAGTGCATACGCAGTTTAACTGAGTGAAATTGGAGAGTCGTTTTCATGGTACACTCTGCTCCTGAAGTTATTAATATGTGCCAAGAAATTCTTGTTTGAGGCAATACTTAGAATACTATAGCCCAGAAATGGTCAAGTCTGCTTTTACCCAGATGATCTATCTCATTTATTCTCTCTCCTTAATCCCTCACTTTCCCTTCTTTTCCTCTTTCATAGTTTTTACATGTTTAAAATAATGTTTTATCACTAGTCAAAGAAATCAGCAATGGTGTTAGTTGGAACTATTTTACAGCAGAGTAGAGCCCTACCTTTTGCCTGCAAATGAGAAACAATTTTGCTTTCCAGATATTTGGTTGGTAAAAATTTTGTCGAGTTCAACTAAATATAAAAGTGATTATCATCACTCCTTTACAGGGACATTTAAGCGACTCTTGGATAGATACATGGATGATAGTAAAATGTAGGCCTTGCAGAGTAGTTTGATCTTAGAGTAGGATAATAGGTCGGTACAACATCGTGGGCCGAAGGGCCTGTACTGTGCTGTACTGTTCTATGTTCCATGTTCTTGTTCTATGTTTTTACACTGACACTTATAGCTGTGGAGACAACATCAGCACCAGATGATGCTTACTGCAAAGTATTTGACATTAAGGACTTCTGAGCACTTCAATTTCAGGATAACTGTTAACACAGGGAAACTTCCTTTTTTGCTAGGTTAAAAATCCAATTTTTAGAAATGTAGGACAGAATGTTACAATCCCTGGCGAGATGCGTTTGTAAGCATGTGGGTCCTTCCAAATTCAGTACCTGCATTTCCCTTCCCCTACCTGCCTGGACCCTACCTAGTTAAGATAGTTAAGGTGGCAGGCAAAGCCTCAGATGGCTAGCTCTCACATCAATCAAGCTCTTGTCACTTCTCACCCACCTATAACCTTTCACCTGGTGGGAGGAGGTTGGTGACTGACAGGAAACCCAGCAGGAGATAGAGAGTGGTGGAGGAATGTTTCTCGGACAACGTCAGGTATAAGCTTCCAGTACCTTTCACCAATAGCTCTTCTCTGCCTGAGTTTTCCAGCAGATCAAATTAAAACCAGCAAGGTATGCCTTGATTCCCTCTCTCACTCAGGCCATAACAATTCTGACAATCCAGATTTCTAGAGACTTTTGTAAACAATGCTGCATATGTTGTAGTCAGCACTAGTAAAACTATTTGACCCTGCAGAGAATCTTATTTCCACTCCCCATCACAGAAGACCTGTGCTTGGAGAATTCCAATTTTCTTGTCCCTGCCTCACAGCAGTGACTTCTGTCTGTTCTGTGAGAGGTGCTATAAACCTCAACCCAACCATAAGACCATAAGATATGAGCAAGATTAGGTCATTCAGCCCATCAGGTCTGCTTTGTCATTCGATCATGGCTGATATGTTTCTCAACCCAGTTCTTCTGCCTTGTCTCCGTAACCTTTGATCCCTTTACTAATCTAAAAACCTATCTATCTCTGTCTTAAAAGACATTCAATGACTTGGCCTCCACAGCTCTTCCTGGCAGTGAGTTCCACAGATTAACCCCCCAATGGCTGAAGAAATTCCTGCTCATCTCATTTATAAAGAGTCATCCCTTCACTCTGAGTCTGTTCCCTCGGGTCCTGGTGTCTCCAACTCATGGAAATATCTCCTCATCCACTCTGTCCAGTCCTCTCAGTATTCTGTAAGTTTCAATGACATACCTCCTCATCCTTCTAAACTCTATCAAGCGTAGACCCAGAGTCCTCAATCACCCATCCTTTTCAGTGAGTTTCTATATGAGTTACTCTTCCCTTCTCATTGCTCATCACCAATGAAACCTGAAGTCACACAAGCACTTCTCCAGACTGGGGTGTTTACCAATTCAACTTGCACCTTTTCAGAGTGATATGTTATACTTTCAATTAAGAATATATTTTAACATAAGCGTTTTGCAAAGTTCAGCATTCGTAATAATATAGTTGTAAAAACTGAAAGCTGAAGGAGACAGTGATTCTTCCGATTTGTAATCAGGAATTGATGGCCAATAAAGTTACTGTCTGTTTGATCTCAGGAGCTGAGAATAATGCATGCAACACTTCTGCTCAGCAGGTCTGCATGATCCATTTTCACAGCTCATCATCAGAGGTATCCTGCAAGCTAACTAAGAGAAATATCATGGTAGACCTCCTCCATTACAGTGTCATTTGATGTGCTATTTTAAGATCATTGTTAATCCACCTGTTTTAAAAGCTCCCATTTACTTTGACTTATGGATAACAGGTTGGAATGATTAAAATGTATCAAACCAGAATTACTCAGTTGTGATTGAAAATCCAAATTTTGTAGATCTAAGGCCAAGTTCTTGGTATTACAATGTCCATAGTTAGGTTAGGATGTATTTGGCCAAGTCAGAAACCTCTTTCATTCCCATGAACATCATGGGAATGAAAGAGGTCTCTGACTTGGCCAAATTCTTGCTGCAATCCTGATTTCAGAAGTATTGCCCTGAACCTGGCACCCACCATTTTCACAGGACATTTCAATGGTGTCTTGTGGTTCACAAAAGCAGCTCCACATGTAAAAACCTACAACCGGGTACAGTTTTTGGTAGAGTGACATGAAAAGTGTAATTTCTAGGATTTAGACATTTCAGCAAAGGTCTAAAGGTATGGGAGTCATTTGGAGAGGTCCACTTTTGGCAGAGATCAGAGGTCTTTGGAAGAAGTCAGTTGCCATTAAAATTTTGATGCAGCTGTTCACATAAGGGCTGTCATTATAGGAATAATGTATTATCACAGAGGCGGGTAAGGTTGTAGGTTTGTAGGTTGATTGACAGTTCCAAGTATTTGCTATCTGGCTGTGAACAAAAATGTGCATTTTCATAAATGATTAAGGACTTGAAGGAAACAGTTGGTTTCATAAGGGATTAAATAATTGGAGGAGTGTAAACATATCGAATAGGTATTGAATCAGTGACAGTTTTAGTTTAATAAAGTCTTCAATGGACACTTAAACCTTTAACTCATCATGATTCCTGAGGTCTGCCCAGGATGGATACTGGGTGAATTAGTACGGAGGGTATAAGGGCAAAGAGTGAAAGGTTATGTTCCCTTTAATTCTTCCTTTTGCTGCATAGATATCTGAGGTCCAAGTGCAGCAACAGATTCTGGAACTGGATGTCAATGCATCCACAAGCCAATCAACAAGTCGGACCCTCTGAGCAGCCTAGAGGGAACATGGATGATGGGGGGGATGTGTTAGCATCAATTGGTATTAAGTTGCCTTAGGATATAAAAAGCCATGTGGTGAGTAGAGTGGCATAGGTTTGCATGGAGGGTATGAGGGGCCATGGTGAGTTGGAAGAGAACATGGATGTGACATAGGAAATTTGTGGGGGCTTGAGGGAGTGTATGGGGTGAGACTATCTTTAATTTTGTTGTATTTTACACTGCTGGGACAAAATCTCCAAGCACCAAGACAGGCCTTTTTAACCGCTGTGGCTGTTGCCCAATGCTCTCAGGATCAATGGGCCCAACTCTCTGTTAACACCTCCACCCCAAAAAGAAAATGCAAAGATTTGGGAGACATTCTCCTGAGTCTAATTAGAGGGGTTGGAAATTCATCTCAACTCTGTTTTCCCAGTTTGTGACCAAAAATTTGGCATTTAGTGTTACTAAAAATTGGTGGTGAACCTGTTGGCTATCACAGATTGAAGAAATAAAACTGGGTTTAGTTTGGTTGAGTTGTTCTACAATAAACTAACTCCAGCAACATGAATGAACAAGATATTATGATAGCAAATGATAGGGAACATGGCATCTGCTGAAAACCATTTAAAACTTGATTTTTGAGAGAAATAAATAGGAGTGCAATTACATCTCCTTTTTATTTTTACAAGTACAACATGACTATTAAAGCCATCATAAAATTATAATCATAATAAGACTACAGTATAGTCGGCCTTCCATTTAGGTCGTCTCTCAGTCTTTCATTTTTCTTGACATTTTTACTTCTGTTTTGTCTTCCTTAATGGTATTTGGTCTATTTTCTACTTTTTCACAGTCTGAGAAAACTAGAGATGTAACTGTCATTTTAGACCAGAACATCAAAATAATTTGAGGGAATGTGGCTTTTATCCCCACACATTTTACCATAGTTGGGCTTTGATTATAAATTTAACTTTTAAAAATATGGTGTGGCCTTCAATGAGGTGCCAGTCGGCCTACTGGAGCTTTTAACCATCTGTTGTTGAGATTTCCTCAGGAAATGTTTTTCTTCTAAACTTGAATGCTTAATTATTGTAATGTCACAATGACCACAGGGTAAGTCAGTGATTTGTGCTTATCTATAGTTCGAGGCCTTACTTTCTGAATTTTAACTTTTGAAATGCTGAAAATCAGCAAATGAAATTGAATCTTAAACCCATGCAAATTGTTCACTTCAAATTTGTTTTTCACTCAGGTATCTGTGATATGCCTGTAGATATTAGTCAGTTAAAACTCAATGTTTTGACATTATATTTAGAATTAGAATATTTCATTTTTGTTGTTATCTCAATCAACATAAATAAATCCTGCTCACAGCTTTGGACTTTGACTGATTTTGGGGAGGAACCATTACATGTACAGTGATTTTGAAACTTGGGCCATGTAAAGGAGACTTTGGGAAGAACAGTAGGAAATTTTAGCTGTTTTGGAAATACAACTGTGATTTTTTTTCAGCATTTAACCTTTAATGTGCCTTAGTTCTTTTTTTAAAGGTACAGTCAACTTCATTTCAAATCTCATGTCTATAAAGCACATGAGATAATACTTTCACTGTATCTCAGTATACATGAAGGTAATAAATCAAATCAAGTCACTGAAGATGTGCTTTCATGATCCTGGCAGAATCCCAGATGAACTGTACTCGGCAAATGAAATCAACATTTACTGTTCTCTACAACTCTGTGGATTTAACCAACAAGCAAGAGGAAGAGAGAGTAGGGCTAGGTAATAAAATATAAATCCAGTTTTGTACTTCCTTCCTTCCTACCGGAAGCACTTTAACAAAAATACACCAGTAACTCAAACCTTACTCAAATTGACCATAACGCTGTTTGGAGTGGTATCAAGAGCAATATCAGCAACTGTCAGGATTCTTTCAACAGAAAACAGGTGCGTGCTTTTCAATATATTTTAGTTCAAGTTGTGTTAACTGAATAGTGCTAAAATTAGACAGTCGTTCAATATTTCAGTTCGGTTACTGGCTAAGCCCTACATAGTTTAAAGGCTTGACTGAGCCAGCATTAATAGAATGTTTGACTCTAATGCATTAAAATTATCTGAAAGAGAAATAGCCCTGGCACATTAAAAATAACAATGCCCTTTGAACAAACATTGCAGTGCAGAACTAAAGATCAGCCTGGATGTCCTAAGTCTTTTTCACATCAAATAAAAGAACACTAGAAAAGAAGATTGATTGCCGTGTCTTGTAAGTATCTACAAAGAAGTGTCTTGGTTAAATGTTTTTGTGTGGTGTAGGAAAATACTTTGAATGCAGAACTAGAGATTATTTTGTTTAAAACATAATAGCAGAGCTATTCTTCCAATAGCTGAATTGATTTTCATTTAAAAGGATTAGCTATAAGGGGACAAAGTAATGGAGTATTGTTCAAATATGGGCTCTGCACTTTCGTAAAGATATTACAGCCTTAAAGAGGCTGCAGAAAAAATTTATGGGAATGTGCCCAGCGATGAGGAACTTAAACTACACCAATAGATTGTTGAACCTGGGATTCCATAGAAAGGATAAGTTTTTGAGAGGGGATTTGGTGGAGGTGGATATGCAGAGAGATAGAAAGAAACTTCCCGTTGGCAGACGTCAAGAATTGAGAACACCGATTAAGGGGGTTAGGAAAGGAACCAACACTCATGAGGAAAAGCCTTTTTACACAGGGAATGGCTGGAATTTAAAATACATTGCCTGACATTGTGGTAGAGTTGGATCTCGTCCTAACTTTCTAGAAGGAATTGAGTAATCACCTAAAGAGAAAATATTTGCAGGTGACAGAAAAAGTTTATGGAGTGAAATTCAGTGAGTTTCTCCTTCCAAGAGCTAGGAGGAGCCAGATGGCCATGATTTTATGATGTTGTTAAAGTGAATCTATTGTGGTATTTGCTCATAGCCATTTTCCTACACTCTTAAGCTCAAATATTATTCTGCTGTAACTGCTGATAATGGTGCAGTGAGGGTGACAGTGCAGCTGACCTGGGAAATGATCACACCTTCATTCTACCTCCTGATTCATATTCAATATCAGAAGAAAGAATAATGACTGGCAGAATAGGCGTGTGAATTAAAGCCAGGTCAGGTACAGTAATAGAGGGGTTGAAAGTTAGATTAAGATTGAGAAAAGAAACAAACATAAAGTAAGAAAAAATAAAGCAAACATTTCAATTTGCTAAAAGCACAAAGAAGAATTTATGACATGGAGGAATCAGATGCAAGAGGGCTGAAAAAGGTGTTTGACAATACGTTAGCAATTACTTTATTGTTTAAAGGATATTTATGCTGTTAGGTTTCTGTGGTGAGTTTAGTGGGGAATTAATTATAAAATCCAGCAAATTCTTTAAATATCCTTACCACATACTTCTCAACCTCTGGACTTGCTAACCAACTTTCACATTAATAACTGTGTGCATTATGAACTTGGTGTTATTCTTCCAGCACTGAGCCAGCGTTATAGCAGAGGAGTGGGATACGCCCTAAGGAAATGTACACTTTAAGGGTTACAAAATGAATACAGATAGTAGTTACAGAAATAAATCAGAAAATTGTGTGCTAATTGCAAGGTTAGAAGTGCTTTAATTTTAATTATCAAAGAAATTTCAGAATCATTTGCATTTCCATGCACACCCTCCTTAAAACTACCTTCTGTTTGTTTATAAGATAACAAGGTGTAGAGCTGGATGAACACAGCAGGCCAAGCAGCATCAGAGGAGCAGGAAAGCTTTTAAGACATTTCGGGTCTAGACCCTTCTTCAGAAATGGGGGAGGGGAAGGGGGTTCTGAAATAAATAGGGAGAGAGGGGGAGGCGGATAGAAGATGGATAGAGGAGAAGATAGGTGGAGAGGAGACAGACAGGTCAAAGAGGCGTGAGTGTAGGTTGGGAGTTAGGGAGGAGATAGGTCAGTCCAGGGAGGACGGACAGGTCAAGGGGGTGGGATGAGGCTTGTAGGTAGGAGATAGGGGTGGGGCTTGAGGTGGGAGGAGGGCATAGGTGGGAGGAAGGACAGGTTAGGGAGGCGGGGACAAGCTGGGCTGGTTTTGGGATGTGGTAGGGGGAGGGGAGATTTTGAAGCTTGTGAAGTCCACATTGATACTATTGCGCTGCAGGGTTCCCAAGCAAAATATGAGGTGCTATTCCTGCAACCTACGGGTGGCATCGTTGTGGCACTGCAGGAGGCCCAGGATGGACATGTCGTCTGAGGAATGGGAGGGGGAGTTGAAATGGTTCGCAACTGGGAGGTGCAGTTGTTTAATGCGAACCGAGCGTAGGTGTTCCGCAAAGCGGTCCCCAAGCCTCCGCTTGGTTTCCCCGATGTAGAGGAGGCCACAACAGGAACAGCGGATGCAGTATACCACATTAGCAGATGTGCAGGTGAACATCTGTTTGACGTGGAAAGTCTTCTTGGGGCCTGGGATGGGGCTGAGAGGGGAGGTGTACAGGCAGGTGTAGCACTTCCTGCGGTTGCAGGGAAAAGTGCCGGGTGTGGTGGGGCTGGAGGGGAGTGTGGAGCGAACAAGGGAGTCCCAGAGAGAGTGGACCCTCTGGAACGCAGATAAGGGTGGGGAGGGACAAATGTCTTTGGTGGTGGGGTCAGATTGCAGATGGCGGAAGTGTCAGAGGATGATGCATTGGATCCGGAGGTTGGTGGGGTGGTAAGTGAGGACGAGGGGGATTCTGTTTTGGTTGTTATTGCGGGGAGGAGGTGTGAGGCATGATTTGCAGGAAATGCGGAGACACGGTCGAGGGCATTCTCGACCATTTTTTGTTTTAAGATGTTTCGGGCCTAGACCCTTCTTCAGAAATGGGGGAGAGGAAGGGGGTTCTGAAATAAATAGGGAGAGAGGGTTTCTGAATTAAATAGGGAGAGACTTGTGCCTTGCACCATTTTTGTCATTTATTTGTCTTCCACTCCATCACAGACTTCACTTTTGTTTTTTCCTCTATCAGGACTACACCAGGTTTGTCCTCAGAGTGGTCTGTGAACTGTGAATTTGAATAGATCATTTATAGATGACTTTTTGCTTACAAATCTTTCAATTTTAAAAATGACTAGCAGCACAGCTTCAAACAAGTTAAACAGTTAGTTAAGTAAAAAAGTGATAGTTATTTCCTAAAATGCAGAAACATAGATTTAAAAAGAGTTACATAAGAAGACAAATATAAGATCTGTCACTAGTATCATTTCAGGCTCAATTTGTTTGAAGTGAAGGGGTTGAAAACCTGAAGTCAGATTCAACAGCTTCTGTGGTGAAGTAGTTGGAGTTTTCTTGTTTTGCTTTTAAAGGGAGTCTCAGTTGATAGAGTAGCTTCAGGCTCCTTGAGTGAGGAAAATCCTGCTTTCATTGGTTTTTCTGGCACGATACTTGAAAACTACTTGGAGTTCTTTTCAGCAGTGTAGAGAGGTTTTCTGGGTGCATTCTCTATGTAGATCCTGCAGAAAGAGAGAAAACCCAACTCTCAAATACTGTTGAGTTGGAATTGGTGACTGCAGGCGTAATGACTCCTTCAGAAAGGTTTTGATCACAGTCCAGCAAAATGGATGCAAACATTAAACTTCATTAATCAGTGTTCTACCGAGCAAAGTCAATGATGCTGGAACTCCCTTACCTTGAACTACCTTGTGCTGTCTTTCCAATCTTTTGTACAATACAATGCTAGTCTCTGATTCTTCGTACCTCTTGAAGTTTCAATGGACATCTTGAAATTCCTTGAATTGTCCATGACCCTTTGTGATTGACACTTAGTCTATCTTATCTTGGCTGCTCTAAAACAACAAGAGAAATCATGTCATCTTTGGAACTCATTTTGTAAGCACCTTTGCTCATTTCAAAGACATTCTTTAGAAATATATAATTATACAGTCATGTTGCCTCTCTTCCCTGCTTTCCCTGCCTTTGTATTTGCCTTAAACCTATCATACCTTTAACTTTTTTCAATTCTAATGAAAGATCATTGTTAACTCCATTTCTTTCTCCCCAGATGGTGCCTGATCAGTATTTGCTATTTTTATTTTAATTAAAATCAGCCAACTGTCTTATCTACCAATGTCCTCATCAATTAAGCCATACTTTATTACAGCGTGTTTGCCACAGCTGGTTCTGCTATTTGCCGAAATCCAGTGAAGTCCTGTTTTCACAATACAGACTAGGGCCTGACTCATTTTAACAGGTGGCCATGAAGAGAAACTATTGTAATTTTCCTGCTAGACCAACACAGTGGGAAGAGGATCAGGGTCAAGTCACAAACTTAGTTCAAGCTTTACTTGAGCTTTGTTCCTTTTTTATTTGTTGAATCAGATGAATTGGATTACCTGTCCAGGCCCCACAAAGAAACATTTGATACCAGCATAACAAACAATCTCCTTCACTCCTATAAGATCCTCCTTAAACCATTTGTTACCAGATGTGGTTTCTTCTAACCCAGATTTCTCAATTTCCTGTTCACCTACTCAATGCTCCACCTCTCCAACAACTTTATCTCACCACCAGCTTCACTGTCTCTAGACTGTCAGGCAGCTCGGCCAACTTCAATTAGTTACGATTTCCCCTATTTAAGTGTTGAAATGACAAATGTAATTGTCTCTGGTCCCCATCCTAATTGTAACACAGTGTGGAGCTGGAGGAACACAGCAGGCCAGGCAGCATCAGAGGAGCAGGAAAGTTGGCATTTTGGGTCGGGACCCTTCTTCAGAAAATTTGCTTTCATTCTCCCAAGATGGTGCCTGATCTGCTTACCATTCTCAGATTTCCTTCAAAAAATATTTCTGAAGAAGGGTTCTGATCTGAAATGTCAGCTTTTCTGCTCTTCTGATGCTGCCTAGCCTGCTGTGTTCCTCCATCTCCACATTGTGTTATCTCAGACTCAAGCATCGGCAGTTCTTACTA